CTGGCTCACTTCCCGCCTGGCTAGCCCTGAGGGTGACCTCGCGGAGGGGAGACACCTCGCCGGCCAGGCCACCGACTCGGCAAACGGTGCAGAGTATTCCCCGTCACTTCTTTGGAGTTTATACTTTCCTAAGGGTTTATGGCTATTTCCATCTTTTAAAGACATATTCAATTGAAAAAAACCAACATGCCCACTGAGAGGAGACGTCAGAGATCCCGGCATGAAGCTGGGGAAACCACGAACCCTCGGTACGGCCTGGTGGACACCGGGGTCACCTGTCGTGGAACCCCGGCCAGTGACTCTGGAAAGCTCCTGCGTGCACGGCGAGGCTGCCCTCAGCACACGGCCCCCCGGCCCCCGTACCTGGTAGTCGGGGCCTGTGGCCCAGCCGTGAATCTTCCTGGGAAGTGGCTGAGGCTCTGGCACCTTCCGGGGCCCCCGGGCCGCGCCCGCTGTCTCAGCCCAGCCCTTCCCCTCCTCCTGGGCGCGCCTGGCATCGGCTCCGTCGGCAGGGCCCAGGGGCAGCTGCCGCTGCCGTCGAGGGTCCCAGCTGCTCCTAGGACAGAGGGGTCAGTGTGAGTCGTCTCACGGGTCGGCAGCCTCTAGAGCACCACAGCAGCGGCCTGACCCCACCTCCCTTGGTCAGGGCGGCCCGCCCGGCCTCAGGATGGACGGGCCCGAACAGCACAGTCGGCGCCGACCGGCCCAGTCCCTCCGCACAGTTTCAGACGGGACGTTTCACACCTGTTACTTCACTTACTGCGAAAGAGCCCCGCCCCCCCATTTTAAGTCTCGGAGGGGTGGGAGAGCTTTTTCACAAGGAGAAGCTGACAGGCTGGAACCTGGACCCAAGGCAAGTCCTCCTTGCCCCTGTGCCGTGCGCCGCGCAGGAGGCGCCGAGGCGCTCAGCGGAAGCGGCCTGCAGGGTGCACAGACCCGAGACGGCTGCGCCCAGGGTGGAGAGGGCAGCGAGACCCAGCAGGCTCAGGACAGGCTGGAAAGGGGATGGTGTGGGCAGCGCTCACCCCACAGGCCACAGCGTGGACACAGGCCCGGGGCCGGCTGGGCCACGCACGTTCCGAGACAATCTAGGCACAAGAGGAACCTGGCGGACACCCCAGGGGTGTGGGGAGAGCAGGAGTCGGCCCGGCTAAGGGGCGCGCGTCCGCCCACACCCCAAGACCTGAGGGAAAGTGAAGTGGGTGAGGTGAGACCGCAGACAGTGGCCACTGCCGGGAATCCCAGGCAACCAGACCTAGAGCCACCGGGAAAATGCGACCTTAGATGACGAAGGTGCAGCCTGGACGGGCAGGGCGCGGGGTGGAGGTCGGACAAGCCCGGGGAGGCGGCATGGGGAGCGGGGGGCCGCCCGGGGGCCCCACAGAGAGTGCAGAGGCGGCGCTGGAGTCAGAGACGTTCCAGAACCCCGTGGAGGAGGAGGAAATAAAGACGGCAAAGATGACCCGGCGCTCAGCGCAGACGCCGCTGGACCCGGACATGGAGCAGCGCGGCGACTCGCGGGGTCCCGCAGGGCCAGCCTGAGGCCCCTCGGGCC